GAGAAAAGATGTCGTTTTAACGAGAAAACATCTCGTTATTACCAGAAAAGATGTCGTTTTAACGAGAAAACCTCTGTTATTACGAGAAAACATGTCGTTTTAACGAGAAAACATGTCGTTATTACCAGAAAAGATGTCGTTTTAACGAGAAAACCTCTGTTATTACGAGAAAACATGTCGTTTTAACGAGAAAACATGTCGTTATTACCAGAAAAGATGTCGTTTTAACGAGAAAACCTCTGTTATTACGAGAAAAGATGTCGTTTTAACGAGAAAACATCTCGTTATTACAACATAATTGAGTGGAAAAAATTATATGTGTGGCAGCAATGCGTCACCGTATCATCTAACATTGTTATTACTTTAACACCTCCATATTTCAGTTCCAGGGCATCCTCGATAGCAGATGATGATTATGATTACTATAATAATGCATTTAACATCAATTCATGATTACAATTAGGGCCTATCAGTTTCATTTAAGCAGGCCTCACAACAGCAAGCTGAAGGAGAATTTGCAACATTTAAAAAAACGCATGGTTACGTCACAGTGAGCGGAGATTTATAAACAAAACGCTGATAGCCTACAAATGTAACAAAGTTGACACAAATATTGAGATAAGTAAAGCGGCTCTGACGGGCCTCTAGAAACACAGAAACCAATCAGACAGCTTCAGTTAAACAACACACGGGCGCTTTCTGCACATCCACCTGTTAAGACCCTCAGAACTTGGGTATTATAAGATAAACAGCGTAACGCGGGCGTCTCCTTACCTGACTCGCTTTGTGCAGCTGCTTCTTAAACCCCGCCACAGACATCCTTAAAATAAGACGAAACGCGAAAGGAGATGAATAGAAAATGTTCAGGAGGCAGAAATGGTGATTTAATCCTTCAAAGGAGCTTTAATTCGGTTTATTTCACCGCAGCTGGCAAAAATAACCTGCATCTCGCGGTGGCTTTTTCCCCCTCACTGACAAGTGCTGGTCGGTTATGTTTGATCTGAGGATTGTGATTGGCGGAGAGCCGCATACGTCACAGCAGCATCTCGGAGAACCCCCCTTACGAACAAAAACACTATATATCAAAGCTTGTCACAAGTATAGGAGAAAGATTCAGCTGCAAAGCAGAGCAAGCGCTCGAGCAGCCATCCGGGAAATAAGTGACAACTCTCCAAAGCATTCTTTAAAGGCACTGATTCAGCGTCCAGATTAGTATGTAAATATTTGCGAAATTGCAAGGAGCTGAGAAGAGCCTGCCGGATGTCTGTGTGTGTGGGTGTGTGTGTGTGTGTGTGTGTGTGTGTGTGATTTGGTTTGCTCGATATCGCAGGCCATTAACAGCCATCCGCTGCCTCCTAGTGGCACTTCATGAACCGTACAAAGAGAACACAATGTGCTCTGTATGTAAATCTAGTGAAAATCAGTCGAATTAATCAGTGATTAATCAGTATTCTGATACATTTTTTAAATTTGAAATGTCTAAATTAGACTCGAGAATAAATCTTCACTTTTCAGTTGCAGCAGATTTCAGTTGTTGCATCTTTGCGTTAGTTCAAGCTAATAGGGAAATATGCATCCTATTTGTTTGCTTAAATGACTTTCATATATGCCTTTGACCGTATCATTGGTTTGGTACTGTCATTTTAATGTTGGAAAGTCTTTAAGATTTTTGTTTCACTTGACCTAGATAATGTCAAACAAACACACTCAATGTCAGTGTTGCATTTGGATGCCATTTGAATATGAGGCAGATTTAGGTGTTTGCTGTGAATTGTTTTCACATATTGTATGCAGAGAGGTTCTGTTTTTTGTTTGTTTTCAAAGGATTTATTTTTTTATCAAGGACACAATAAATTGATCGAAAGTGACATTAAAGACATTTATAACGTTACAAAAGATTTGTTTCAAATAAATAGTGTTCATCTGAACTTTCAAAGAATTCTAAAAAAAAAAATTATTTTAAATTGTAATAATATTTCTCAATATTACTGCAAATATAAAACATATTTTGGGTTGAAATATGAATCATAACAAAACTTCATTACATAGCTAAACTTATCTACATTAAAACTTGCACTTAAATAGTTTTATCAAAATAAGCAACTTACATATCCAACAAAATGTATTTGTAAGGTCACTGCTTCCCAAAATGTAAATAGTGTTTTATTTACTTCATTCTCATGCGGCACAAGCCATGTGTATTGTCAGATAAAAATGTTGCCTAAATATAGATGTTGATGATTTCTCAACTGTGGCAGAACCACTGATGATTCAAGTGGAGGAACCTGCATACTAAATTTCAGTTGCTGGAGTAAAAATATTGCTACTGAGGTGGTAGCTCAACATCCTCTACCTGCATGAGGTGGAAAAATCTTTCTCCAGTGTTCCAGAACCATTGCTGGTTCAGGTCGAGGAACCTGAACAGCAAACCCAACCTGAGGTGAAAATTTTGCCATGTTCCTCCACCAAAGTAGCACAACCGCTGATGGTTCAGCAGCACCTCAGCATCTCACTCTACCTGCTGAGGAGGAGATACTGCCATCCATCTCTAACTTGGCAGAACCAAGTGGCACCTAAACATCTCAATTTCCCTGCTGACATAGAGCAGGACTGTCCACTAGAAGGGCAAGGGAGTAGAAAGACAATAACAGACGATTCAGCTATAAAATGTGCATGGATAGAAACAAACATCATGCAAGTCACCCGTAAAGCTGAATGAAGGGGGGGTGGGGGGGGATGAAACAAAATGAAGAGGAAAATTCCAGAAGATGCAACTCCTCCACAGAAAACATGCAGAAAATAACAAGACAATGGAACAGACAAAGAAAGAGAGAAAGAGAGAAAGATAGAAGATGAAAGTCCTGAAAAGCAAGAGAGATCATAGTGGTAGAGGAATTGAGACAAGAAAGGAGAATAAAAAAGAAGGAGAAAAAGACTGAATATGAAACTCCACCACCTGCATAAGCAAAGCTTGATTGGATGGAGACGGACACCGTGAAAGTTATATGTATTAAAAAAAAGAGGAAAAGAAAAGACAAGAGAAATTGAATTTGGCAACAACATCAGCCGGCTGTCCTCTGTTAGTCAGCAGGAAAAGAGACTTTTATAAACTGGCAGAGAAAAAGGTCACTTCAAATAAAGAGAAGAAGATGAGAAAAGAGCAGGAGAGAATCCAAAAGCAGGTACTGTTTAAAAAATGTCAACGATCCAGCCATGAAACACCTGCTCATCAACAAACACAACAGGTTCAATAAGTCAAATGACCTGTCGAGATGGTCTCACTCTGTGTTTGAGCATGACGAATACAGATGGAGACCAAAAGGTAAGAAAAGAAAATAATTTAAAAGAAGAAGAAGAGAAAGACTGAACCTAATGAAAATACAGGTAAATAAAAATAAAAGTGGTAAGAGAGAGACAGGGAAAGACAAAAAGGATCAGTTCCTCCAGGAAAAAAGCAGGGGAAAACAATGTCCACCTGCTTTCTTACAGTAACAAAAAGCGCAAAAAAAAAAAAAAACATTTAGATAATTGAGTCAAATTAAAATAAATAAGCTTTTTAAGAAATATATTTCTGATCTAAATATGTGGACAAAAATATAATTATATAAAATGAGGTATGGAAATCCTGCAGGTTTGATGTTGTAAACAACATTATTATCAAAGCTCTTATAGTAACCAAATTGCCCTCAGACTCTGCTCTATCTATATCTATACTGTATGTGACTGTTTAAAGTGAAAGTTAGTTTTGATAATGTGGCTTTTCACCGGTAGCTTCATAAATTCACCACTAGATGTCCTACCTAGTACTAACATTGTTATTCTTTATGGCTTTGTGGTTTCGGTTTGTCCTTTATGTCTGTCTCTTATTCCCATATTCCTCAGTCAGCTCCTTTTAAAGTATTGTGTGTTTCATGTTTTCAAGAAAGAAAACGGCTTATTCGTTCATTTGTAACACAACAATTGAATTGATCTCCTTCACCCTTCAGCAGTTTTATTTGCACTTCATATTCAGTGTTGGGGAAAGTTACTTTTAAAAGTAATGCATTACAATATTGCGTTACTTGCTAAAAAAGTAACTGTGTTAGTTACTTTTTTGGAAAGTATAGTGCCTTACGTTACTTTTGTGTTTTATCGTTTCTCATCTGGGCTGGATTTGCTTGTTTTGTTTTTAATATTAAAAAAAAGTTATCTTTTTGGCAAATGTAAAAGCCCTTTTACACCTTTCACAACTTTCACACAGCGAAATGAATAAGCCTCGGGCGAAGGAGATGTAAATTCACATCTGTACACTCTCAGAAAAAAAGGTACAAAAGCTGTCACTGGGGCGGTACCTTTTTAAAAGGTACACTTTTGCACCTTTTAGGTACTAATATGTACACTTTAGGTACAAAGGTGTGCCTTTTGAAAAGGTACCACCCCAGTGACAGATTTTGTACCTTTTTTTCTGAGAGTGTACAGTAGAGGGCGCAGCACAAACAAACACAAGTGTTGCCAATTTAGCCATTTTGTTGCTAGATTTGGCAACTTTTCAGACTACCCTAGCAACTTTTTTTCTTCAAAAAACACCTAGCAACAAATTTAGCAATTTTTAAATTTATTTGGCAACTTTTAGTAACTGTGACTCAAATGATAAAAAGGCGCTCATTTTTATCTGCATTATACACAAAAAAAATCGTCTAGCAGGACACATATCATGTGAGTTGCAACTGTTCATTAATAATTGTTCATTTATGATAACACCTTGTTATTAGTTTGTACCTGCACTTGTTAATCAGTTTAAAAATATTGTAGAAAAATGGAAAAGTTACTGGTAATTTTCTGCTAGGACATTAAAAAACCTGTAAAAAATCAATACAGAAAATTCCTATAAATTATCACAGTACATTGTGCCCTATTTTACAGACTTTTCTTGAAGCGTAGCATACTAACTAATCCACTGCTTAAAAATATAATTATTCAGAATGTGTAGTTTTACTAGTTAATAAGAAAATAGGCCTACATAAACTATAATCGTAAAAAAAGGTGTAAATGTTCAATAATTCAATGTTGTATTTAAATAATATATATTATTATATTTATATTTTAGTTTCACTAACAAATCTAAATTAACATTTCAAATAATATTCATAATCATATTTTTGCTGAGATTTGAGTGATCTGATTGTATATTCTATTCAGTTTTGCGTTGTGATTAGATAACGATGCATTTGCGCAATGGCATCACAATGTCATTTAGCAACTTTAGCAACAATTTGTCCAGCCTTTAGCAACTTCCCCTGAAAATTAGTTGGCAACACTGAAACATTTCTTCTGTGCGGCCATTCTAGATTGCATTAAGAATAGGACACAGGAGAAGAAAGTTCAACACAACAAACACAAATCTTATGTTTGTCTAAAGTAATGGTTATTAACCATCTTCAAGAAACGACTAAAAACACATCTGTTCCACCTTTATTTGACCCTCTAACTCTAGCACTTTCTATTCTATTTTAATTCTACTTTATCTATAGGATAAAAGTGTCTGCTAAATGACTAAATAAATAAATAAATTAGTATAGTTGAATTGGATCATCGAAGGTCAGCAGTAAAGACACTGGTTAATAAAATGGGATTAGGCCTAAATAGGCTACATAAAGGATATTTATGTATTTAACATTTATTTATTGCAGGTTTGCATTTAACTGTTTTTATTAATTTCAAGGAATACTGAATCTGTTTTGTGCAAGTAAGATGAGTAAATGCATGCTCACATTTATTCCAGAACTACAGTAACAGTGAACACAACTGTTCTCTGCACTTTCTCTCGATTTCTCTCAACATTGGGACAGGAGAGCTGTCAGTCAATAAATGGGAAAATAAAGTAACTTATTTGAAAATGTAATTCAGATATTTTCTTGTAAATTAAAAAGTAATGTATTACTTTACTAGTTACTTGAAAAAAAAAGTAATCTGATTACTAGGGGTGTCCCCGACTCAGGGTTTTCACAGTTGAATCAGAATTTTCGAATCTTGCCGATAGTCGACTGATAGTCGAATCATATGTTTGGGGCGGGGCAAAATACATTAGCAAGAGTCAAGTCAGACAGGGAAAATGTGTAACGGACGCCTCGCAGATACAAAAATAATGTTTTATGTTTTGATT